TATAAAACATCGGTCCTCTTCCCTCAGAGGCTCCCTCTCGCTGTGTGTTAGGAACCGATCGTACAGCTCCTGAACTTCCTCCGACTCCTCCATCCTTCCCTGAAGTCCAACCGGAGTGAGTCTTCCTCAGTGGAGAGGCATGATGTGCATCCACCTTAACCCCCATCACCACCGCAGACTGCATCCTCCTCCAACTTTCATCTTTACAGACTCGCATCATCTCGAAGGTCAGAAAGTTCCAGGACCTTGATCTCGTCGCCTCTCCGTGTGTTTTCAGTTCGGTGTTCACTTCACTTTGTTTAGTTCAGAAACCTTTTGGTTTTCAGACAAGACTCCGACATGAGGCTGAAATCTTTGTCCAAATCGCTGCTGTTGGTGTGAACTCCTCCTTCCTCCTGCATCAGCTGAGAAAGTCTGGCAGTCTTTGTTCGATGAAAGCCAATGGAAGAACATCTGTGTGCTTGAAGAGTCCTGAAGTTGGAGGTTTTTTACCATCTGGCAGCGATTTGAAAATCAGTCCAGCAGAAGTCTCAGCATGCTGCAAGCACTCCAGCTCTGTTCTGACTTTGGTTTGTTTCAGTCTACCCCAAAAACCCTCCAACTAAAATAAAATCAGAGCTCCAGAAGTGACTCCAGGCTTTGCTGTTTCTGCAGAGGAAGCGTTCAGGCGCTCAGCAGAGACGTCTGCTGAATCTGCTCTGAGCTTTGAGCTCTGCTGTGGAAGCAGAAATCACAGCGTGCAGGAGGAGGAAGGTTTCCTCCCAGGTCAAAATAATCCCTACTAATCTGATACTGGAACGAGATGTTTTAGCTCCTCCCCCTTTGGTGTGGACTAAAGAGCCACACCAAGAGATGCAGGAGCTCCAGTTGGTTTGCTTTTTAGGAAACGGCTGAGATGAGCTCGGCAGCATGGTGTGAAGCATGCTGAGTCATTTCAGATACTCAGTAAACGAATAAAAGGGTAGAAAGTTCAAATAATTTTCGGATTACAGGTGATCGGAGGAGGAGCTGGTAGCTTCAGTGTTTTTCCTGGAAGGCAAACTGACACGCCAGCCCGTCTGTCAGTCGTCTGAACATTTGGACATTACTGCGTCTCACTCAGTCAGGATCCTGCTGAACCTCGTTCATTCTTCTACAGGACGAGTCTCCCTCATCCCTGACAAATCAAACATTGTCTCACTTCTGTCAGCGATTAACTGTCAGTGCTGCTCGCTTTGATATTAGTAACCGTATATGCAATAAAATATGCAACAGAGTCGCAGGTTCAAACCCTAAAAGAGGAAACTTTGTTGCATTTAAAATATATGCAAGACCAGCTCAGCTTAGTTCCACGTTTCACGAAGAAGACGACGCTCGCTGTCTCTACAGACGATCCGGGAATCTGCTCAATCCTGCATGTCCGGTGCCGAGAAACGAAGTAGAAACGGTTTTGGGGCGATTACTGAAAGCGCGAGGCGGCTCGGTGTGAAGAACGACGGCAGACTGAGGAAACCGGCTCCAGCTCGCATCTACCCCGACAGCAGAGTCTGACCGTGCTGCGTCAGGTTTGCTCACATTTGGCTGATCAATGCTTTAAATCCTCGTTCAGCTCTGAGCCGCAGCGACTTCAACGCGAGCAGGTTTACTCAGACGTCTGCTCTTAACTTTCTGCTGCGTCACTGCTCAGGTGGAGTCGCTCGTCTCCTTTAGATCTCGTCGTT